ATTTAGTCATGCCTTGCAAACCAATTTTGCTTGGCGAACAAGTCTAATTTGATCACCAATTAAGTATGACAATCGTTGAAAAGAGAGGGGCATTTGTCTAATATTTGTATGATGATGTATAAAAATAAAATAATTGATAGGGTCATGTAAGACAAATTTGATGTTGTTGTTGCAATTAGTGTGATTATCATTTAAAAGAGATGAAGATTTTTTTCTAAGCTAATTTGATTAATAGTCATATTTATAGAATTTATGTGGGGTGTTTAGATTTTTTTTTTTTTTAATATTCCTTGTGATTTTATTAATGGATTGTGGAGATTTGATATAATAATAATCTAATTATGATAAAAATACATTAATGATCCTTAGTCAGTATTTCGTGACTTGATCACAACCATGTAAATGATAACTATGACAACAACAACAACAATGTCAGTTTTTTATCCCACTATGTGAGATCGAATATATGAATCATTTTTCTTCATTGTATTATATTAAGAGTCAAATTCTCATTTAAATCTAATAAAAAAAGACTTTTCTAATATTATATGATCAGATCTTTTTAGGTATATCTCTACCTTTCTCAATATAGGCAAAATCTAATATATTTACTCTTCTAATGGGGTTATCAAAAGGCTTGCATTTTATGTATCCAAACCATGTAAGACGACTCTCTCTAATCTTATCTTTCATTAGAGCTACTACAGCAATTTCACATATATACTTATTTCACATTTTGTCTTTAAGATGGAAGTTACTCATTGGCCTAAGAATCCTAATCTCTGTAACACTTGGTTTAAGTTAGGGGTGTCAATATTTGACACGACCCGAAACCCCAACTCGAACCCGACCCGAAAATTTCCGGTTCGGGTCAACCCGAACCTGAAACGGGTCGGGTTCAACATTTCGACCCGTTTCAAAAATCGGGTCGGGTTCGGGTTAACCCGTTGACCCGATTTTGACCCGGCAACCCGATTTTGACCCGAAAAAGAGGAGATAGACCCGTTTTTGACCCAAAAACTGGCAATTTCTTTGTTGGAAACGGGTCATTCGGGTCGTGTCGGGTTGATTCGGACCTGAAGAGAGTCGGATTCAGATCAGGAAAACAGACCTGTTTTCAAAAATGGGTCGGGTTTGGGTTGAGCCGAATAGTGCCGGTTCAGTTTCGGGTTTGACCTGAACCCGACCCGTGACCCGAAATTGACACCCCTAGTTTAAGTTAGCCTTCGTTTAGGACAACTTTCTTACTGCTTCTTAAAGCTGCTCTCTAATATAAAAATTTTCAATGTTGTATTAAGAGCTACTTTGAGAAGCAATAAGAAAATCGTCCCAAACGAAACCTTAGTCTAAACCAAAATTTAATTTTACAACTCCAAAATTTGATTAAGTCTGATTGATCGGGCTCACTAAATTTGATTGAGTTTGATTTTACCAATTAAGATATAAAATAAGTATAAATGATTTCATAATCAATACTAACTAAGCAACAATAGAATATATTCATATTGATTTTGCCAAAATCAAACTTATTTGATTTTGGATTTTGAGCTAATCCGGTTTGGGAATTGATCTACAATTCAAAGTCCACTTATTTAAATTTTAAAATTGTTTAATCAATTTGACTTCTAAGAAGTATAAATATAATAAAAATTCTTAAAGAGAAGATTCCTGATCTTGTACTGAGCCATAGCAATAAGAGGCAATGATTTTTACTCAAATGATACACGCTTTGATATTTTTATGCTATGTTTCAAAATAAATAAAAACTATAATATTAGTTTTAATAACAACTAAAGTAACTAAATTTTTTAGAAATAATTATGACCAAATGCTATTTTTCCCAAACTTGTAATGACATTCTTGTATGAAGAAAAAACTAGAGGTATCAATATATGCCTCAGATTCAAAAATTTGACTCGGATTTGACTACAAAATTTGACTCATTTATAAACGGGTCGAGTTCGGGTTAATTTGCCAACTCTAAATCTTACTATATATTTCAAGTTATGTATATTTCAGCATTTAAAATAAGACATATGTAATAGCTTGTGTAACACCCGATAATCAAATTTGGAAGAATTGTTTATTTATCATTTTAATAATATACCAAAGCTTTTATAAATCATCAATAAAAATAATAACCAACGAAAGCAACTAAAATCATATACACTATTATTTTTTACTATTTATTCACCCAAAATATCATTTACACTAGCTAGTAGATCACTATAATCACCAATCTATTACAAGCTCTTGATTACAAAAGAATAAAAAATGCAGAGCAAATATAAAGAAAATTTGAGGATATTGACAACCTCACTCTACTCTAACGGGTCTTGAACCCTTTTCTGATATGAAATTATTAAAATCCACATAATGAGCTCAAAAGCCTAACAATAATTCATAACTCACTAAAACTTTAAATACAAGGACTAAAAAATCAATAAAAATGCTTAGTCGTCTAATATAATCAATAGCAATAAATATAGTTAATGACCAAATATCATCAATAAAACTCAAAATTATCGATAATAAAAGCATAACATCATTACAATGAATCTAAAAATTAATAATTGTTATAAAATTCAATAAATCTAAATTCTATGAATTACATTTACTAATAATTGATCATGTTGAATTAGAATTCATGAATTTTATATCATAATGATGCTACTTATTTATGTCATGGTGCTTACTCTATATATCAATATATAAAATGTTAATAAAAATGGTTTATGTAGAATGCTTCCGTTTGCATGATTGATTGATGGAAGAAACCCTTTTATGATATTGATTATGGTCATAATTTATTCGTGCATGTAAATGGAAAAGATTATGAAAAAGAAATAGAAAATGAGTACATTCATTAGTATTATTTTTAGACGGTGTCTCTGTCACGACCCGACCCTACGGGGACGAATCCCGCCCGAGCCGGACCGCGACAAA